CCCACCCCTCACCCCCACCCCTTTTTTTTACACATACATGTCTTGTCCTTTTTTCGGGATTTGTTATACAATGAAAGAGACGGCCTCGATCAGCTTCTTTGGAGAAATAGTTCAGTAGTTTTAAGGCAACGTTTTTGGGGTTTGTAAATATGTAATCTAACCAAGGTGATTAATGAAAAAGCGGCAGGAAATAGAAACGAAAGCGATCTCAATGACGGAAGATATGAAGGTAATTTTACTCATTATATAGCACAACGAGTCAATCAAAACAAACTAACACCTAACTACCGTTCTTCGTCTTATAAAAAAATTCCCCACGCAGACTGTAATTAAGTACTAATGACTATATAGAAAACAGGTCTTTATATTTGTCACATATGCACGAAAATCGAGGATCAAGAGCCGATGCATTGGAGCAGTACAGGACAATAGCTAAAGATGTCAAGAAATCACTAAGAAAAAACAAGTAGGAATTCATGAACAGGCTGGCAGAGAAGGTAGAGGAAGCAGCGGTAGGAGCTCACATGCGAATCCTTTACCAGATCACAAGGACACTTGCTGGAAAATACGGAAAACCTGAAGTACCAGTAAAGGACCAAGAGGGGAAAACCATTTTGGAAAGGAAGCTCAATCTAAACGATGGGTAGAGCATTTCAACAGTCCCCTGAACAGACCACCGCCGAGTAACCTAACAAACATCCTGCCAGCAAGAAATGGTTTACCAATCTGCTGTGATGCTCCTTCAAAACATGGGATTCTGGATGCCATTAAGAAGCTGAACAAAAGTAGAGCTGCTGGTTCCGACCAGATTCCGCCTGAAGCCCTAAAAGCAGATGCCAATGTGACAGCAGACATCCTCCTCCCACTGTTTACCAGGATCTGGAATGAGAGCAAGTTCTCCAAGGATTGGAAAGAAGGACACCTCGTGAAGCTTCCAAAAAAGAAGGATCTCAGCAGCTGCAGCAACTGCAGCAACTGCAGCAACTGCAGCAACTGCAGCAACGCAGCAACTGCAGCTACTACAGAGGGATCACTCTTCTCTCAATACCAGGTAAGGTCTTCAACAGAATCATTCTAGAGAGAATCAAGACAGCAACGGATCCAAGACTACGGGATGAACAGGCTGGTTTCCGGAAAAATTGCTCAACCATCGACCAGATTGCCATGCTGAGGATTATTGTGGAACAGTCCCTGGAGTGGAACTCCCAGCTGATTGTTAGCTTCCTTGACTATGAGAAGGCCTTTGACAGTATAGACCGAGCGACACTATTGAAGATAATGAGATACCACGGAATCCCACAGAAGTTGGTGAACCTCATCAAGAGCATGTACGAAGGGACAAGTTGCAGGGTTGTACATGATGGCCAGCTCACTGACAGCTTTGACATCAAGATTGTGTGTGTCACCGTTCCTCTTCATATTGGCAGTCGATTGGCTGATGAAGGAAACTACCAAAGGACACAGAAATGGTATACAGTGGACATCATGGACACAGTTGGACGATCTGGATTTTGCAGACGACATGGCGCTTCTGTCGCACACCCAGAAACAGATGCAAGCAAAGACTTAAGTATTAAACCGCTTATCGGAGTCTGTTGGATTGAGGATCCACCCCGGAAAGTCAAAGGTCCTAAGGACAGAAGCACAACGAAAGGAGCAGGTCACAATAGAAGGAAAGGCACTAGAAAACGCTGAATCCTTCTGCTATATTGGGAGTATAATTGACAGAGAGGGAGGGACAGGTGCTGAAATAAAGTCCCGTATTGGAAAAGCACAGGCTGCTTTCATATCTTTGGATAGGATTTGGAAGACCAGAGATATCTCACTTCGAACAAAGCTAAGGGTTTTTAATTCGAATGTGAAGTCGGTCCTGTTGTATGGATATGAGACATGGAACGCATCACAGACTTGCATAAAGAGGATCTAGTTTTCTTGAACAGGTGTCTAAGAAAGTTACTGAGGATCAGATGGACAGAGAGGGTCACCAATGTGGAAGTGTTAAGGAAAACAAGACAGATCCCAGTCAGAGATGAGGTAGGAAGAAGGGGGTGGCGATGGATTGGACATACTCTCGGGTAGTTAGGCAGCTGGATAACAAAAAAAGCTTTGGATTGGAACCCTCAGGGGAAGAGATCAAGGGGAAGACCGCGTGGAACCTGGAGAAGAATCACAGAAATCGATGAACAGAAAAGTGGGAAGACATGGAATAACATCAAGAGGCTAGCCCAGGATAGAGAAAGGTGGAAGGTATTTGTCAGTGGCCTATACCCTGGTGCAGGGTGAGAAAGGCAATGAGGATGATGATGAATGTCTAGGTACATGCAAAAAAATCAGGATAATTCGCCTCTTAGTTCCTGTGTAATGAGGTCGACAAGTTGTCCATTTGGTGTTGTCCGGACTATAGCTCTCTCTGCTAGCTCACTGCTTGTATTGGAGACAGTTCATAACATGGCGGTCCGTTAAATATGTTTGATGCTTTTGATGGACAGTTCATCACTCTTGACACAGTCTCTGGTATTTGGTGGCGAGAAAGAATACTGGGTTCTCCCCATTAATGCCAAAAGAGACACATGCAAGTTCATCTTGTCTACAATTTCTTGAAATTGTTTTTTTCTTGGTTTCTCTGTTCATAAAGTTTATGTCCTGTTTTCGCCATAACCATGGATATTCCTGGATTAAACTTATGAACTCAAAAGTTTTGGCACTATCAACTGTTTTGTTTCTGTTTTGTTGTATAGACTTTCAAGAGGAGAATGTAGAGTCTTCAGCTCTCTCGAGCTGATCGAGATATCTTGGCGAGGTTTGGAGGGAAATTTCGGGTGTGCTAATTTTAGAAATGACGAAACCACTGCTAGCATTGAGCGGTAGTAAATCAGGGGATAAATTTAACTGCTCTCTGCTGGCAGTGCACTGCTCAGTACGGTGCGGCTACTGCTTTTGGTGCGAAGGGCGTACAAATAATATTATAGTGGGTGCCCACTAGCGAATGGGGATCGTGTCGGGTCGGGTCGGGTCGGGTCATCGGGCCGGGTCGCTTTCTGGGCGTTTCAGTGCACAACCTTTCTTGTTTATTTCCGACTTCCCATATATCAGAGACCTAGATCTAGTAAACATTGCAAGGTCTCTGCATACATCTCTCAACTTATCTCTCTCACTCCCTGTCACTCTTATCACCCTCCCTCTGTAATGCTCCTCCTTCTTCTTCTTCTTCGTCTTTTTCCTCCTCTAGGCCTATGAGCGCTCCAAACCCGTGAAAAGTGAGAAGACGGTCAAAGTGGTCAGACCGAAACCGTGAATTCCCAGCCTACTTAATGTATTCATGGGTCAAAATGGACACGTGACTCAGCCTTGTTGTGATTGGTTGGAAACCACCCGATCGCGCGATTTGCAGGCCTGAAAACAAACGCGTTTGTTTTTTTAGGTCGCCGACCGAGTTGATCGGATTGTGCCACAATGGCCGCTTTGCGCACTCAATTTGACTAGCCCCGTCTACCCGATCGGCCCGATTGCGTATGTGGGCACCCGCTATTACTAAGATTTAACATGGCTCAGCTACTGTGCAGCAACTACGCAGCTACTGCTCAGCTCAACTGCTTTTAGTGCGTACGACTACTGACTTTTGCTACTCACTTTCTCGAGCTCGTCATGAAGCAGATGTTGTCTTTGTTTGTTGTCGCACCTCTAGACTCTCTGTCTTGACTGAACAACCATCATGGGGTTTGCTACGTGTGCTCACTTTTTAAATAGAAGAAATAGTAACACAATTTCACGTGTATACAGTTTTTACCCACCAGCTGTTTATTCATCCAGTCGTTTAAA